AGTTATGACCCTTTTGAGCAAATCTGGATCGTCGTTGACATCATTCAACAATTCCTGAGGGATGCTCAAGCGACGGTTTTTTTTTGTCAAAATTCAGCAATTTTAGAACAAACTTCAGTGCCATACGCTAAAATTTCCAAAAAAATTGTATGGTATGAGCCAGCCGATACACCGACATCCTCAGCAACTTCTCTAATAGTGATTTGACTATTCTCATTCAAAGGTTCTATTAGATAGAAATTGTTTGATTAACTTCCTGAAATGGAAGTCATTTATATTGGCAGATTTTATGTCCATAGGCAAATGATTGTACACTTTTCCACCGTTGTGAAATATGGAGTCTGTGGGAATGTTTTAGTTGCCATAGTGAGTTTCAGAGTGTGTCTACTGTTTCGGGTGTTATAACGGGAAGAGGATGCAGTAAAATTTAATATATGCTTATTTATCAAACACACAGATTCAAGTTTAAATGATGCAGTTACCGTTGGAATATTATGTTTTTTGAAGAAGATTCTACAGGAGCCTCGTGGTTCAAGTAAGAATCTATGAGTGCATAGTACGCCATCTTTGCTGTGCTGAACCCCAATTCTTTATAAATCACTCAAACCGCATAACAGCCAGAGGAGAGTTGTTTAACATGATCCACAAATTTTAAATTCTGGCCAATGACCACTCCTAAAAATTTTGTTTCATTTTTAGATTCCAGTGATCTGTCTTCAAAAAAAGGTTCATTGATTGAGCATCTAAATGATAATAAATTTGTTTTAGTTGAGTTAAAAGATGAAATGTATGAATCTCACCAATCTTCAACTTTTTTCAACGGCAGAGATTATTTTGTGCAACTCACAAGTGTTTTTGTTATTCCAAAGTATGGTAGTGTCATCTGTAAATAAGGTGAACTTCCCAGAAATATTAAGCTTGGTAAGGTCATTAATATATAATAAGAAAAGAATGGGACCTTACACAGAACCTTGTGGAACTCCAGAAATAATTTCCCTTTTTTTTTGAAAGTTGAGTTGTTTTGACCATTTGCGTCTTGGTTCTCTTCGGCTCTTCCATTGGGACGCTTGGACTTTGATTTCGATGTCATGACCATATATCCATGATTCGTCACCAGTTATGACCCTTTTGTGTAAATCTGGATCGCCGTTGACATCATTCAACAATTCCTGAGGGATGCTCAAGCGACGGTTTTTTTTTGTCAAAATTCAGCAATTTTAGAACGAACTTCAGTTCCATACGCTAAAATTTCCAAAAAAATTGTATGGTATGAGCCAGCCGATACACCGACATCCTCAGCAACTTCTCTAATAGTGATTTGACTATTCTCCATAACAATTTTCCCCTTTCTCAACATTTTCATCGATTTATGATTACTGGGGCATTCAGGATGAGCGTAGTCATTTACATCTTCTCGACCTTCTGTGAAAAGCTTGAAGGTACCATGTGAACATTTTTCTGACTCAGAGTACAATGCCCGTATGCCACTGTCAACATTTCAAGTGATTTTAAACAATTTATTCGAGAATAACGAACAGGACAACAGGCAGCAAGAGTGTTAATGTTCCAGGTTCAAGTGCAGATACGAATACAGGTACAAATTCAGGAACAAATACAACTGATTACTTGACAAGGCATAAATACGCTTTACGAAGCCTAAAAGGTAGTCATCGGACAGCAAGCCTCTGAAGAAGTTAGCCACTCGCGCCAGCGAAACGTCAGGAAGAAATTCCAAAAATCCACGGCTTTCAAACTCGAAAAGCAACGACACTGAAAACCTCAGCTGTGAAAGTCAGAGTATTAATTGTTAGTTCGGAACATATCACTTCAAGGAGTTCAACATTTTCTCCAAAATCAAGTTATCCACGTCAGAAAAGCATTTTTCATGTGTTTGACTGTACGTTCAATCTTGATTGAGGACATTCGATTAGTTCCCGGGAAATAATAATCGATAGCACGATAAATGTTTCCACGAAATTACGGAATGTTGCCACGTGTGGGAGGATCTATTTCACGAAATGCGTCATAGTAAAACTCAACACTTGATGAAATGTTTTCTTCGATTACCGTGGCGTAGTGCGTCAGGAGTTCATGCCACATGGTCGTATGGTCAATAAGGAGATTTACTTTGAAGTTATGCGCCGCTGGCTAGAAGCAATACTAAGAAAACAATTCATTGCTTTTACATCAGGATAATGCACCTGCTCACTCGTCATTGCTTGTTCGTAATCATGACTCATCCACCGTATTCACCAGATATGGCCCCCTGCGACTTTTTCCTGTTCCCAAGAAGAGACCCACGAAATGATGGCGTTTTGCGACGATTGAGGAGATATAAACCAAATCGTTGAGAGAGCTAAAGGACATAGCAAAACGTGCACATCAGAACTGCTATGAATGGGACAAAATAGAAATTAATGAATATAAATTGTTGGATGTAGCCTTTACTACGTGGTAGGAAACCATAATGAAGAAAAGAGAAATGAAACTTTCTGTTTTTTTCCAACCAGACAGTCATAAATTAGCAGCCTACAATTCAATGTTGCACAGAGCATTTTCTCTGCCTTTGTCTGCTAACAATCTAACTAGGGAAATTGATATAATTACACAGATAGATCATAATAATAGTTTCAACGCAGATACTATCCAGACGTTAGTCAGGAAACAAAGCCGGAAATTCGCTTACAGATTGATATAACCTCAGGTTAAACAACCAGAAATCAAGAAATGGGTAACGCTAACATATTTTGGAAAAAGAACAGAGATAATTGCGGGTTTCTTCAAAAAAAACAATGTGGAAGTGGCATTCAGACCACATGCCAGGTTATCTCATATTTTTTGAGAAGAATTAAATACATATCATTTTCAACTCAAGAGAAATTGATTTGGCTGGGATTAAATTAACTAACTGTCATAATGACAGGAGCAGAATTGTCTCAGCCCATGAACCTACTGTGTAGGTAAGGAAAACTGGCCTGCTTTAGATGATTTGAGGACAAGTGTCTTTATCCGAAATCTTTAATGTTCAGCGGGAGTTTGATTTTTCCCATATACGCGAAATTTCCATATCAATACTCTTTATATACAAAGTTGTGTAGCGTTTCTGTGAAAGATATCTGTTTCAGTTCCGTTGCGAATGTTTGGAGAACTAACTGAATAGGAAAACGTTATTTCCCTGTTCATATGTATGAAAGTAGTTGTTTCGGTTGGACTTTTCCTTCTTGTGGATTGAAGAAACTTCTGTGCATGACCTACACACCTTAGGAAGAGTTTTTCAATGTTAAAAAATTTTTTCTTTCCGTCTGAAATTTCCCACATTCTTTTGTGTAATCATGGAGTAGCAGGAAGATAACTTTTTTTCCAAAACGTGGAGATAGTTTATACCTGTGTAAGAGACACCGATCTGCAATAAGTCTATATATAATCTTTCAGTAACTAATTTACAAATTGTAGGCGTTATTTTGAGGACTCGAATTACATACACATTCAGATAATATTTGGAGCTATTGAGTTTTACTCAGTTCGCGTGGTTGTATCAGAAGTAAAGTGTGTTTCAGTGAAATGTTCGATAAACCGACAAAAGGTAAATCTTCGAATAAAAAGAAAAGCAGTCATTCGAGAAGGCGAAAAAAAATGAGCCAAATCGACCCATCAAATATTGTGCTGAAGAAGGTGAGTTATTACTGCTTTAGAATAGTTTCTTACAGGTCTGGTTTGTGAGAAGAGAATTTTGTCATAACAAATAAATGTTACTTGATATTTTGATTAACAAATAGTATCTTGAAATATTCAACATTCCAGCAAAAGGAATGTTTTGCCATTTTATGGCTGTCAACAAGAAACAACCGGAAATTAGCTAAAGCGTCTGAGGACAGCAATCTTCTCGCATGGCTACGTTGTCACATTAGCACAAATCAAGAATACTAATAGCACACGGTTCTGACAATATTCTGGCAGTACAGAATACGATTCTGACAGTTGCAATAATACGCCACGTTGTTCTCTAGTTTACAGTGATCTATCTATAATGACTGTCTTTATTTTTTGTATGTTTATAAATCTTAAATTTCGAGGTACCGTTTCAATTTATATCTACTTAAGTTATGAGTTAGTTTTTCACTGAAAATTTCACTTTACACTGAAAAGTCCAATTAGTCAGTCGCTTGTGTCTGTAATTTTTGACTATAAATTGAATAATCAATGGAAAACCAAGTTACTGCTATGTCCAATCTAGTTTCCGGGTTTTTTTGCCGTGGTCTGCAGGTTTTATACCTGACGTTTCGTCTACTATTGCGGTAGACATTATCAAAGTGCTAGAGTTGGTGCTCGAGTTGGTTTCAATGCAGCAACTCGAGTCTCAAAATAGACCTGAATTTCGGGGCTCAATTTCTTTCCAGCGAGTATTCTTTTCAGGTCTGAGAACAGAAAAAAGTCGCTGGAGGCCAGATCTGGTCTTTTTCTTCAAATGAGGCGTTTTTTCCGCGATTGCGTCCTTCAAACTCTCCGACAGTTGTAAAATTTTTACACGTGTCTTTTGAAGGAGTTAGGGTTAACTAAAAATAATATTAATGAACACTAGTTGCGCCATCTGTGTCTTAGCCTACGAACTTTTCAGCTTTTTCAGCCTTGCCACCTTGGAAAATTTCGCACAATTTTTGTATAAAGTTAGAGAAGTAGAAAGCCAAAACCTTTTTTTCCCAGATTTACAAATTTCAAACTTTAAAACATTGAATTTTGTCCTATTGATTAAATTTCATACGGTCTTCTTTGAGTTATACAATTATGGTTCTGTTTATTAGTGAGTTCATTTTTTCAATATTCTTTTATCATAATTACTTAACAATGAAGTTGCCAGTTTTCCTCGAATATATTCAGTGAATTATCATGCATTTTCATTCAACATCATTTTAAAGTTTTTTTTTGTATAAGTTCAAACATGTTTATAAAAAGATCGCATTCAGCAATTGTAAAGACTGACGTAAAATAGTTACATGTACTTTGAATGCTGATCTATTTTGAAACAGCTACCTACATTGTCCGTCCTATAAAATTCAAAGGTGATTCGCTGAAACTGTCAATTATATGCTCACATTGTTGTTGCAATTGAAATAGAACTCCTCAAAGTATCTGCGCACTTTGCAGAATCAGTGTACTTGAAAATCCATACAATGCGCCAAATATATTTAGGTTACCAAAATGCAGTTTTATCCTCGAAGATCGATTGTAAAAATTTCAGTCACTTGAATGTATAAAACGTCAAAGTTGAAAAAGTAACAAAAAAGTTTCGGTTAGTTACGAACTTTACCGATCCTGAACGATCCCGTCAAATAACGTCAGAATCTGAAAAGCGGTCTTCAATACGTCAGTCAAATCCTTGAACGTACGAAAACAAATTCTAAGTTTCAAAAAGTGTCGAAAAGTGCTTGAAAATGGTGAAACCTCCCGCAATTGGAATCGATCTCGGCACAACTTATTCTTGCGTCGGAGTCTGGCAGAGTGGCAAAGTTGAAATCATCGCCAACGACCAAGGAAACCGGACGACCCCTAGCTATGTGGCTTTTACCGAAACTGAAAGACTCATCGGAGATGCTGCTAAGAACCAAGTGGCTATGAACCCCAGTAACTCCGTTTTTGACGCCAAGAGGTTGATAGGACGCAAATATAACGATCCCAAGATCCAGCAAGATTTGAAACACTGGCCTTTCAAAGTGATCAGCGACGATGGCAAGCCCAAGATCCAAGTAGAATTCAAGGGGGAAATCAAGAGATTCGCTCCTGAGGAGATCAGTTCCATGATTCTCACCAAAATGAAGGAGACAGCCAGTGCGTATCTTGGTCAAGACGTGAGAGACGCCGTTATAACGGTTCCCGCTTATTTCAACGATTCTCAAAGACAGGCGACAAAAGACGCGGGAACGATTGCAGGTTGGTACACAATATTGATTTATTTTTATTTATGTAAGTCCTTGAGTGTCCTTGCATGTTGTATGTCGAACTGAGGACGGTGGAGCGGAAATTGTTAGTCCACGCAAGAGTAGTTTGACATTTATCCGGTCAGTTCAGACATCCGATGGTACAAAAATTCGCAACCAGCTCAAAGTTGGTAGGATTGTTCAAATCACCATCATAAATGACATTAGAAAAACCTCATCGATCCGATACCTGGAAAAAAATTTACGGCTAACTTATACTTAGACTGTAGGTTAGACTGACTTAGGTTAGGTTGTGTTAGGTTAGGTTGACTTATGGAATCTCAATCTAATTTCAAGAAACTTGGCAATGAGTGAATGAAAAGGTATAGAAAAAAGTGCGATGATATGGAAAAAGATGTGTTGAATAAAAAATATGTGAATTGCAATCGTTTATTGCTTAAAAAAAGTTAAAATATGACATCAGACAAACATTATTATTATTACTCGGGGTCATAGGTCACTGGAACGGGGTTGTCGCGATTTTTAGCAAAACGGTCAGTTTCATCATGGAATTAGTTCAGACAAAAATTGTAGATCAGATAATTATCTATATCTATGAAAAATGCCTGGGTACTTTTTTCCTAAGAGCTACCGTTTATGAGAAATGATGATTCAAAAATTTGCAAACGTTTCCATACCACCTTTAAGGTAGTGGTTTTCCCGGTAGGCCTCAATCGGAAATATTCTTCTCGAAAAGTATATCTATTTTTGCAGAGTCAAAATCAAGTACTATTTTTACACGGAATAACTGGCTGTGATACGACATCTGCATGTTTCAGGAGGTACCCCTCGTGCACCCCAACATTTTTTAAAATGTTTGAAAAACAATAGTTTTTAAAAAGAGTAATTCAACTCCACAAGAAGTTATCACCAAAGGAATTCGCTTTCTTCTTTCTATGCATGGAGCTCCTAAAAAACTACGTGCTTAGATGAGTTTCGATATGCAGGTTTCCTTAAAAATACTCGAAATGAAAAACAAGTGCAATTAGCTTATCTTCCTCCAACCTCAACGGCTTTTCATCAACATCTTTCACGGGTATATCACCAAGTTGAAGTGTGGCTTGGTTATCAGCTAGACCCAAAAGACTGGGGTTGGAAGTCGATCGATAATACATTAGAACCAGTTCAGCTGCGCTGGAAAAACTGCTAAACATAAATTTTTGCAACTGTGAAAAGGAATGTAGAGCTAAATGTGTTTGCAAAAAAGTTGGACTCACCACAGTTGAGGGTTAGTTGCTTGCACCCAGGATGAAGAAGAAGAACAAGGAAAAGAAGAAGAACAAGAAAAAGAAGAAGAACAAGAAAAAGAAGAGGAAGCAAAAGTATCAGAGAATTATGAAACATTTTCAACCCTTGCCAGTATCTTTTATTATTCAATAATTTCAAATTAAACAGAATCACAATAGATACGTTGAATAAGCTCACCGAGGAAACCGTTAAAAAAGGCGCTAAGTACACTATCTCAAAGGTGGCATATTATCACGATTACAACTCTTCCAACTTTTTTGAATTGTTATATCTCTTACGACAAAAAGCTTTACAACATTTTTTATAGATAATCTGATCTACAATTTTTGTTAAAACTAATTTCATGATAAAACTGACCGTTTAGTTGAAAATCGCGAAAAACCTGTTTTCGCGACCTTTGACTCCGAGTAAATTTTTTCCAGGTATCGGATTGATGAGGATTTTTCAAATTTCAAATAAAGATAGTGTTTTGAACAATCCTACAAATTTTGAACTGGGTGCGAATTTTTGTACCTTCACTTTTATTTTTCAGTCTAATTTGACCGAATAATCGATTTTTGTTTGTGGTAAATGAAGCTTCATAATACGCTCTTGCTTTATAATGATGCATAAGTAGAGGATGAGCGGTGAATTGGCGCAGTGCGCCCGAATCACGACTGGTAGGTCCTGAGTTCGATCCCAACGTCGACCAGATATTTTTCTCGAGAGAATTTATCTAGTTGAAGTTGGGATGATTCTGCAACGTTACATGGCTGACGGACTGCGAATAGCCATGATGGTCCCTAGGTGGCTTGGGGATATTTTAACATTGACTACCCAGAACACGGGGCCAATGACCAGGAGAAACAAAAAGTAGAGGTTGACCACTTGTCGCCACTTTAGGGGAATATTTTGTTTGCATTTCTAATCCTCTTTCTTTCTCTCTCTCTCTCTCTCTCTTTGAGTGAGTGATCACTCAACTACATTTTTTTGGGTTCTGGTGTGCTTTGCAACGGAAGATTCAGAGAAATACGGAAAGAGATTTCTCATTCAGCAGTCGATGATGAATTCTGGCTTTACAACGCCGGCTGAGAAAAATCTTTTGTGATAAGCGAAGTTTGAGAGAGAAAAAACAAATTCCCTTACAGTACGAAAGTAAGTATAAGTACCAGCGTTTCGTCTGCTATTGCGTCAACCATCTTCAGTGATGTAGACGTTGGCTACGAGGACCAAGGTAATACCTCCTAGTCTTAGCAACGACTGACTTAGTCATTGTTGAGAGTCGCCGCGTCGCTAAAACCTCGAGATACTAACGCCGTGCTCGCAGTCAACGCCAACACCACTGAAGATGTCTGCCGCAATAGCAGACGAAACGTTTGATACTACAAGTTCTAAATACTAAAATCCGGACCGGATTTTATTCTCTATAATCGTAACCCTGGCTGGCATAATCCCATACAAATCGACCATAGTAGCATTCACCAAAAGGACTAAAACGGTGGGTCTCGGAAAGCGGAGGTAGCACTGATGCTCGCCACACGCACCTATGGAAAAACATGGGGGCTAAAAGCATACATGGTATATTGGCCATACATGACGGTGGTTAAACCCATGATAACATACGCATCACTGGTCTGGTGGCCAAAGATGAAGCAGGCGACCGCTATCAACAAACTAGGCAAGATGCAAAAACTTGCATGTTTGGGAATGACGGGAGCAATGAGAACTACCCCAACAGCTGCATTGGAGATGCTCCTGAATCTACCTCCTTTATACTTTGTGATAATGGGGGAGGCCAGGATGGGCTAATTTAGACTGAAAAACCCATCGAACTACAAAAGATCGGACCGAACAGAAATTTCGGAACATGTGGAGGAGCACATATTGAATATGTGCACGGACCACATGAGACCGAAGTACACCCTTAACACAAACTTCGCGGTCAAAATCATAAGCCGTGAAGAGTGGACGACCATTAGTCATCCCGAAAACATGTTTGGAAAAAACACCTGGTATACAGATGGATCGAAGCCCAAACATGGAATGTGAGCTGGAATATACCGAGCGGATAGAAATTTAAACTACAGTTATCCGCTAGGATTATACACATCCGTCTTTCAGGCGGAAGTGTAAGCTATCTTGCAGTGTGCAAGGCTTATCAAATTGAGACCTCAAAGAAATGAGCGGATCAATATTTCAACAGACAGCAAGAGCGCACTAGGGGCTCTGACAAACCCGAAGGTGACATCAAAACTGGTCTGGGAATGCCATGAAGAACTGAATGAACTTGCAAACAGGAACAAATTAACTTTGTACTGGGTGCCAGGGCATTCAGGAATCACAGGTGATGCTAAAGCTGATGAATGCGCTAGACACGGATCATCAACTTCATATATAGATCCTGAACCAGCTCTGGGGGTACCAAAATCATTGGTACGAAACCAGATTAGGACATGGACCAATGAGAAGCACACAGACTACTGGACAAAAGTACCTGGCAACAAACACAGTAGAACCTTCATTAGGGAACCGTCCGAGAAAAGAACCGAAGAACTATTTCAATATAGTAGGGATCGGCTCAGAATAATTACAGGGTTACTAACCGGTCATTGTCCGCTTATAGGATACCTGAATAAAATGGGTCTGTACAACGGAGACATCAGCTACAGATTATGCAACGAAGGGAATGAAACAGCTCTACACATCTTATGCGAATGTGAGGCACTGAATCACAGGAGGCAGGCAATATATTGACGTACAAAATTACGTCCAGAAGAATATGACGAACATCCAACAGGGAATCTGTACAAACTAGTACAGGGGAACGAGACTGATGGAATGGAATGGCTGCAGTGTTTTCTGGAGACTTGGACTAAATGGACAAGTCAGACAGCTCCCAAGGTACTGAAAAAACCCTGGCTGGGGAAGCCTTTTTGTGTTTTTTGTCGATCTCACTTACTTTTACTGAATAGCTGCGTTGGTTGGAGTGGAATCAAGAATATTTTGTTTGTTTTTAGGTCCTGTGCCTATCAGTTGAAGGCGTTCTTTTGGAAATATCATATTTGAGTCAAATGTTTTATTCAGAATAATATATTGTGTACTACGTGATTCATTCACGTTTGTAATTTGAATTTTTATAAAGATATTACGCCTTGATAATTGTTCTAAAACTGACATTGACCTCGAACAGACCGCGTATTGGATCATGGCTAGAACGCTTTTGGACGCTGGTGTCATTTGGTTGCCTGCTTGCAATAGCTGCTTGCTGCAGTGAGAGAGATAGAAGACGATTGAGTTTTCTGTCTCATAGATGAGGTCCTAACAAGGAGATTTGTCATCGTCTCCAAAAGTCTTTTTATTGGAAAAAACTAAGAATCAAATATATTGCTTTGCTGACACATCTTCACCGGCAGCAGGAGGTTGCATATCTCAAAGAGGATCTAGAAGTGATTTCAAATTGGGGTGAAGGTAACCAGGTACAAATCAATGCCACAAAAACCCAGGCATTGGTTTTCTCCAAGAAGATAAATGTCTCCGAACCGGATATAATAATGACGAAAATCAAGTAGTTTTCATAAAAGAGCTCTGAAACAATGCATTTTAAACTTATCATTTAACCTTTTTCTTTAAAAAATTATTTAGAAACTTTAAAAAGAGGAATGAAATAATGCATTCAACATTTAAAGGGATTCGTTTCTAGTTCACCATTTGGCAACATCGATTATAGATAATAAAGGACAATGAATCTGTTACCTGTATGAGACAAACAAAGATGACATATTTCAGAGGCGTGCTGTTCTGTTTACTTATGTTCCGAGTTCCGAGACATTCTGTGACATATGACATTTTGTGCACCTAACCTATCTTCCTCTAGGACCCATAACAAATACTGTACTACACGTACACGGACGTTCACAAAAGTCAAAACGGATGTCTGCAGTCAACTTGCTGCTGATCTCCGCCGATATGTCTTCGCGGCATCCGGCCTACACTAACCACAAACTTGCAGTCGTACCCAACCGCGTACACCGTTGTGTACTTTTTCTCATATTGTTCTCACAGCATTCAATTTATGATGTCAGTTGCCTCAACTGCAAGTGCGGTTTATATGACCGCAAGTCGACCACAAAAATGTGGTTGGGTCAACCGCGAAGTGCAGTCAATGTAACCACAATGTTGTGGTTGCCTCCAAGCAAATATGTGGTCCGTGTTCGGCCGGACTCAGAAACAAATCCCTTTGAAAATTAAAACCCAACATTTGAAACATCAATTTGAATACTTCTCGAAGTGAATTTGAAAAACTCGTGAAATATACTCAACTTTATTTTGTTGAAACTTACATTTGCTGTAATAATCCAAATTGAGGAACATTCCCCGTTGCGCTTTCTGCTTCTATACGTTTGTTGGGGCTTGAAATGGACACCAATTAGTCTTGGCACGTTCATGTCGCTGGAATTACAAAGGCTGCTCCTCAAAAGCTTAGAACAAACCCGAAAACTGTACACGTCTCAGCAACTTTTGATGCTTCATAAAGCTCAGATCAGATATTCTTTGGAGATTTGTTCTCATGTATGGAGCTCCATTCCTAAGCATACCCTGAAGCTGCTGGATTCCATTCAGAAAAGAGCCATCCGCCTAATTGCAGACGCGAACCTTGCAGCCTTGGTAGTTTGGAACATCGAAGAAAGGTTCTATAGATACTTTCACGGGAAGTGTTCAAGTGACTTGGCACATTTGATTCCACCAAGGGCGGTACATATCAGAACTGTGGCTGCTCTTTAACGAAGAGCAGCCACATACACCTCGAACTTCACTATTTAAGAAATCTTTCATTCGGAGAACTGCGTTTAAAAAAATACTTGTATGTGAAATCAATATTATCTTTCAGGTATAAATGTTCTTCGAATTATAAACGAACCCACAGCGGCGGCTTTGGCGTACGGTCTCGACAAAAACTTGACAGGAGAAAAAATCGTGTTAATCTTCGACTTAAAAAAAAAATTCAATATTTGTGCCTTCGCCGGACATTACTATAATATACGAAAGTGACAAAATACTCTAGCTTGGCCGATGATTTCTGACCGCTAAATATCTATAAGGAAATTATTAGGTCCACTCTGTACACAAGATTATTATAGCTAACTCCTTACCAAAATCATAAAATGTTTTGTACACAATGTACATTCAACTCACCGCTGCCTTTTTCCTGCTTCTGCCTTCTTTAAATTTTTTGCACTACACTGTTCGATTTCCGCTCAAACCTTACAAGCTCCTTTATGCCTACGTCGGAATAAAATACTATCCAAAAATCGCGCTAACTGCCTGTTTTTTTTCAAAATTTAAAAAAAATCGAAATTGAAGATCCAACCCAAGAAAAATATCTCCCAAAACAAAATACCGCCCTTGATCGACCGTCAAGAGAACCCTTCAGACTCGCAAGTTTTCGAACCTCCTCAAAATTCAAGCAGACTTAGTCCCCGAAAAACTTTCGCACCACTCTGAGACCGCTGCCTCAGGCACAGAGCTCCCAGAACTCTCTGTCTTTTCTCCTTCCAAAAGCCAGGAAGATATCACGGATTCATCGTCCCCCCTTCTCTCAAACTGTTCTTTCTAACAGTCGGCCACGTGCAACGGAGGTCATCAGAAAAACCTATTTAGCTGAATCGATAAAACTTTCAATGCTGGGATATTGATATGCCCATATTCACATCTTGAGCTACGTGACAAATATATCTGACTGTGCATCTTTTCAAAACACGCCGATGGATAGTGTTTATACAAACACTCTCGGTCCCTCGGCCATAATTTTACATTGTATGAGAGACAGATCCGGCGTTTAAGAAATCTGTCTCTTCTCGAAATCAAAATATATATTAGCAAACATTGCTTTCGCTAGGTATTACAAGGATCCTTTTTTGGATCGTCACGTGTGATGGAAAGTTGATCCCTTACGACAGCAGGAGTAGTTCAGGACAGTAGTTAGACATCGATGAGCCTTCCAAAAAAGACCATGGTTACTATATGCAGGTCAGCGGCTAGTGTGATGCACTATAACTTTCTGCAACCGGGCCAAACCACCACTATTGTGAGGAAATTGACGAAATGTACCTAAAATTGCATCAGCAGCAGCCGGTATTGGTGAACAGAAAAGTCCGATCCTGTTCCACGACAACACCCATCCGCACAAGTTCTATCTCACACACCATACTCCCCAGACCTGTCGATAATCAGGACCAGGCACAAACGGCCTTCGTCGACTCCATCGAATTCCGAACACACACATTTGGTGCTGACGGAATTAATCGACTTGTGTTACGTCGGCAAAAGTTCATTGATTCAAATGGGGCTTATTCGGATTAAGTTGAATAAGTTTTCACTGATATATTACAGTTTGAAGTAGATTCATAAAAATGGAGAAATTTTTCTAAAGAACCTAATAAAAAAATGTACACTAACAAAAAGTAGGACTGTTTTATCTGAGACGAGAAGTCTGAACTATCACAGTTAACTCATATTGGATTTTCCTCATTTATGGTTGCCATATCAAAAATGCAATGACAATAATGCATAAGCATTGATGTTATTCAATATTCAAACAACTGCATGAGATAAAAAATGAGCTTATTTAGATGATCGACAACAGAAACACTTTCCAAAACTTTTTGCTATCACCAAAACAATTTTGATTTCGCACCCTGGTTGACATCTGTTTTGTTTGAAGCAAGATGCTTAGAATATCTCTGGTGTGATCACTCGACCAACTTTTCCATGTAAAATATTTTGTCAAGAACTATCGACCTACTATACTCCTCTCTTAACAAGGAGATCCAATAAATTTCAGCATTTCATTCCACAGAGCTACTGAGTACAACTCAAATGACACAGCTTCACAAAGATGGCACTTCAAAATTCAATTTTGGAATCAATTGATATCAGGGGAAAGTTTTTCTGACATCATCTGTAAAGTAGGGAGGGTGAGTGTCAGCCTACAGCACTTAGGTCACATGTGACCCATTGTACATCTTCCCGAGGAGTTGTCCTCCTAGGTAATCGTCCATCCTGTCCTTTCCAGGTAGGTGCACAGGTCACTGGGAGACATCTCCTTTATATCGACAGGTGTAGGCCAAGACTCGCCGAACACACACTCTCTTATTGACGATAACTTCGGGCACTCGCATAGGACATGCCTGACAGTCTCATCTTCCTGTTCACACATCCTGCATAGAGGTGTGTCCACTAGCCCCATATTATGGAGGTGTTTCCTTAGTTGACAGTGGCTAGTCAGAAATCCTACTGTTGAGCATAGATTTTTCCTGGTCATGGCCAGATATTTCTTCGACGCCAGCTTCCCAGGGTTGCCCAAGGTGATCCTGGCAAGATTGCATCCTTTGATTCAATCCCATCTCTTTAGGGATTGAGCATGGGTGTAACATTTAGCTAGTTCCACAATTGTCGAAGTCATCAGACCGTAGGTGCCACTGGTTCCTAAAATTGTTAGTCCATCCGCTTCCTTGGCTAAAGAGTCGGCAATGCGATTACCTTTACTCCTGTCGTGTCCTTTAATACGCCCCAGGGTGCTGTCCGAGGTCATCGAACAGCAAACCATGATGGTTAAACCTCTGAAGAAGCTAGCCAGTCGTGCCAGCGAAACGTCAGGAAGAAATTCCAGAAATCCACGGCTTTCAAACTCGAAAAACAGTGACACTGAAAACCTCAGCGGAGAAAGTCTAAACCATTCTGTCTAATAGGGTTTGTCTGCTGTCAGTGCAGATAGTTATGATGTTGCCAGAAATTCCTTTCCTGGTTATTTCTTTTGTGGCGATTGAGATACCAGCCAGTTCTGTTTGGACCACGCTGGTAATTTTTCCCCATTCCTCACTTAAACCTTAGGCTTAGTGATCTGGAGTACACTCCACATCCTGAGCCTTCTTCTGAGACTCTGTGTTTTGTTTTATTTGTATTTTGTAGGGTTTATTAAACACAATTGCATCACTGGATGCCTGCAGCAGAGGTTGCGCAGTAAACGCTTCTCGCCATAACCCAGTCTCAACTGACCCATTCCTACTTCGAGGTTTACACCAACCGTGCACAATCGTAACATGGCCATTACCGCAACCTCTTTAACGTACAGGTCCAGAGGGGTCAGACCCGTAATTGATTCCATTGCCGCTGTTGGTGTTGTTCTCATAGCTCCTGTGATGTTTAAACAAGGCAGTCGCTGTATTTGGTTCATCATGGTTCATAAATTGAAGATCTAAACAAAATACGCCCAAAAGATTTTGATTCTTGCACCATCTATCAATATGTGTGAAAAGTTGGGTCAGTCTCATTTTCAGCGTCGAGAGTGTTTGTTTGGCAAAAGAAAAGCGAATCGGTTTAAACACCAGGGTTTCTTTGCAACTTTGTTCGAAATTTATCTTCCTTTGATGTGGGGGTTGAAAAAGCCTGTTAGAACCTGTTTGAAGTGGTTCAAAATTGTAGACAGCTTGTGGATTCTTGTAAGGCAGCACATATTTTGTCGATGAGGCATGTGAATCTTCCCGACTGTAAATAAGAAATCCCAATGTTGAAGTAGTTACAGCCTAATAATATGTCAGCAGGTTTGACTCATATCAACATGTAACATCGCTGTTTCTACTTTCAACTGTATTTGAATGACATGCAAGTCAGCAACCACATCTCCCCCCCACCAAGATGGCTATTATGGAAAGATTGAAACCACAAATATCATACTTCCAAAGAATGGAATTTTCATGTTTTCTTTATATCTCTAAAAGTAAGAGGCTAGATTAGATTTTGAAACATAAATAATGGGCTCCACAATAGTAATATTTGCCCTTCACTTAACCTTTTGTGTTACTCTCATCTTTTTCGAGAATAACTCGAACAATTTAATCTCCTATAATATTGATAAGGAATGCAAATAGCGAAAAACCTATAGAAAACGAGATATTTGCAGAAATTTGCAAACAATCGATATGTAGATTTTGAAACAAAAATCTATTTAAAATCTGTTTTTCCGTTAATGAGTTGTCGCCCCAATACGAACGACAACTCTCAGAAGTTGAGAAACTTTTGTGAGCTAAGGACTAACAAGGCCTTGCCTTTTGACGTGTGATTCCTAACACGGTTGCAGAATCATCTCAGCTTCAACCAGAAAATTTCTCTCGGGAAAAATATCTGGTCGAAGCAGAAATCGAACACACGGCCTTCCGATCGTGAGTCGGGCGTACTACCACTACGGCCAATTCCTCAACTTTTAGGATGTCAAAATACAAGTCCATTCGTGTTTATAACTCGGTATCTCAAATTCTGAGGTGAACTTACTGAGATGACTGGAATAAAAACAAATTTATACCACAGAATATAACCATGAAACTTCTGAAACTCCAAATGTATTATCATAATGTAATATCACCAATTGAAAACTCCATCTGCAGAAAACTAAATCCATGAATGTCAAAGATAAACGACGCTATTCGTGTATCAATTCTTCTATCTATCCCTCCCATAGATGTCGCTTTCGTAAGGAGATATATCATTGCCATTTCCTACTCAGGCTTTTCCATTAAGCACAACGCTTCATTCGTGTTCCAGCGCAGTACCACTGATAAAGTCTTTGACTGTCTTGTGTTGGATCACTTGTGCTTTGTTTTTGGGCTTAGCTTTCATCAAAATAATGCATTGTTTTTATTTTTATAGAGCTAAAAGGACCTTGAGCTCTAGCACCGAAGCCACCTTGGAAATCGATGCTCTTTACGAAGGTATCGACTTCTACACAAAAATATCAAGAGCCCGATTCGAAGAACTGAACTCGGACCTCTTCAAATCCACCTTGCAACCCGTGGAAAAGGCCCTGAACGACGCCCAAATCTCCAAGAGTAACGTCAACGACGTCGTTCTAGTCGGAGGATCGACGCGCATCCCCAAAATCCAGTCCCTCCTTCAGAACTACTTCAACGGAAAGAGCTTGAATCTGAGCATCAACCCGGACGAAGCAGTCGCCTATGGTGCCGCTGTCCAAGCGGCCATTCTCAGCGGCGATACCAGCTCCAAGATACAGGATGTTCTGCTGGTGGACGTCACTCCGTTATCTCTGGGAATCGAGACAGCCGGAGGTGTGATGTCGAAGATCATTGACAGGAACACGAGGATTCCTTGCAAGCAAAGCCAAACGTTCACGACGTACTCCGATAAGCAACCCGCAGTTACGATTCAGGTGTTTGAGGGGGAAAGGGCTATGACGAAGGATAATAATTTGCTGGGTGAGTTGTGTTATATGACTCCTAGTGGTGGGAAACTAATTATTCTTTTTATCTATGCTACTCGGGCGCCATTTAAAGTATTCAAGTTTCCGGGAGAAACTGCAACCTCATGAGCTCATGACGTTCATCCCACAATCATTGATTGGGAGTCTTGTTATATTTTTCTGAGCGTGATTTTAATTGTCCATGAACTGCTTGTCTTTCAGTACATCACATTGGCATAATAGATGACATGCTTTCTCTGTTAACTGTTCAGATATTCTTCAAACAAGCAAGATCCAGTAAGTAACCTTGTAAATATTTAGAGCCATTTCCTGCTGTGTTGAAGTAGTTATTTTTTCAGACTTTTTGAAGGTTTTTCCATATGTAGTTGTTTAGTAGGCCCTTTTTCTTCCAGTCTTAAAGTAACTTATATGCATGGTATACACATTTTGGTAAGAGGTTATTTCGAAATTAATCACGTTAGTCCAACAGTCATACTGCAAGGCGCAGAACGCGACAGGATGGGAACATACCGGGACGGAAACATACCGGAACGGGAACATGTCGGGACGGGAACACGCCGGGACGGAAAGAAGACGTAAAGTTTCGTATAGTTTGTTATGTTGCAATCTCTACTCAAAGAGAAACACTTTCTTTGCCTGTCCCAGGCCGTTCTCCCACCATTGCTCCTTTCCTCCCATGCTTGACTTCGAATTTCAGTGCTCTACAAAGACACCACGAGATATTTCCGCATCTTTACTTCAGCCGATTTGATTGTCGCTATAAAAATATGAAGAATTGCGGGGGAAAATTGATGTGTGTCATCCAACAATTCCCTGTATTGTATGATTCATTCAATAAATTATATTTCGACGTAAAAGTTGCCATTACAGCATCCTCCTCACTGGATGAGCTGTCAGAATCCGACAGGGAAGTCATCGTAAACAATACTAGTATCGAGCTATTGAATACGGGATGGAAAATAAGAAGAGGAACCGAGCAGGAGGGAAAGGAAGAACGTGGGGAAACAGTACGTGGCATCCCGGCTTGCCGTAGTGTGCGAAGGAAGGGAAAGAACAGGCAACGTCCCGTCATGTTCTCGTCCTGTGCCGTCCTGCTCAATTGGTAGATGAAGTAACCTGCATCATCTCGATGTTGAAGGAAAGCGCACTCACTTTGTAACTATCTGCAACAAGCAACCACAGATCTTGTCGTTGGAAGAACAAAGTTGCTAAAATTAATATATTTGTCGCAGCGAATTTTGAGTATTAGTAGGAAAGAACCGAATCAGCTTGAAGTAAAGACCCATCTCGTAGTGTTATATTCTTGTATCTTCTCGCAATATATTTATGCTTATCTTTGAATGGAAATTATTATATCTTAGTGGTGTAACCAAAACCTCGGAACCAAATTCATTTTTTGTTTCTTAAATTTAGCCCTTCAGGGTTAAGTTATTTCGATGATTGGATTCTGGATTATTGACGAATACAACAAAGGGGTTCCATAGATGAAATTTCTTTTTCAGGAACCTTCGACTTGTGTGGCATACCTCCCGCACCACGTGGCGTCCCCAAGATTGACGTAACTTTCGATCTCGATGCTAACGGGATCCTGAATGTATCCGCTTTGGAATCCGGCACAGGAAAAAGTAAACAAATCACCATCAAGAACGACAAAGGGCGGCTTTCTCAAAAAGATATACAGCGCATGCTTGCCGAAGCAGAACAGTACAGAGACGAGGACGAGAGGCAGAGGGAACGGGTTGCTAGCAGAAACAGCCTGGAGAGCTACGTGTTCAACGTCAAGCAGGCCTTGGACGAAGGTGGGAGCAAGCTGAGCAGCGAAGATAGAAGACGAGCTCAGAACGAATGCGACAACTGTATGCGATGGTTGGACAACAATCTGATGGCCGAGAAAGACGAATTCGAGTATAAGCTGAAGGAGTTAACCAAAGTTTGTGGGCCTATAATGACCAAGATGCACCAGGGACATCGGGGTGGGAACAGATCTGGTGATGAGGATGGAGGTCCGACTATTGAAGAAGTTGATTAGGGAGCTGATTTTTAGAAGACCTCTACGTAGATCAACCTGTGATTCTTTGGGGTTCAAATTGTTTAGTTTACCGCCTTTTTTATTTTCATATCAAGTCACTGCAAATGGTCAAATGTCCATTTTCTTGCCACAATTGTAGTTTGTTTATTGTATACACTCATTAAAAATAGCTGTGTCTCAGAACACATGATTTCTGATATTTTATTTGTATTTTCACATCATCTTTAACTTCAATGGACTAATCGTATGAACAACTGTGTTTTAGTTATTTTAAGAAATTGAAAAGCTTACTGCATATCTTCATGTCTGTACAGGTTCGTTGTTAGATGTTTGTCATGTCTTCTGGACATAATTTGGGTTACATAAAACAAATGCTGGGCTCGTAGGCCATGGTCAAATTGAACTTGTAGCGCCCCGTTTCGTCTTCAATGCAACATACATCATCAGTGATATGTGCATTGTCTACGAAGCAAATTATATATTGAAGTATCAGCAACGAAGACGTTGTTTTCTCTAATCATGATACCGGCCGTTGAAGCCTAAATTCTTATATAATTTGGGTTGAACATACATTGATTACCTCCTGAGATCCAGTGCATCACATCCGCATGAAACATGTCGAGCTGTCTCTGCCCCAAGGTTGTATTGCTTGCAACTAGTGTCTTCTTCATAGTATCTATTTTGTTCAATGGGTAGAAATGTAATTATTCTGAGCTTATCCCTGCGGTGTTGAATCACTTGGGTGCATTAGGGTTCCAATGTGAGAAGTTCGATCTTCTCGCTCGCTGAGTTATGAATAACACTGTAATAGATATAGCTGAGTTTGCTTTTGTTATGGCATAATAATTATTCATGCCCGCACAATAACAAATGGCATACCTCAACGGTCGTAGATGCCCTGACACAAAATGAACAACATAGTATCTTTGACATTTTTCACCTAGTACATGAGGTACCTACCTACACTTCAATGTTAAAGCTAACTTTTGGTACAGGGAAGACTAATTAATGACTCTTCTGTGATTATGATTATTTATTGCACAGCTCTTCACTCCATTCCACACACTACCAATTATGACAACCATTACAAGTCCTAGTGCACGTACACTATGTTATTATGAATGTGTCTACTCATTGTATGCCGGTAGATTACCTTGCATTAGACACCATGTACTATTGGTTGCCTAAAGAACAGTGAGAGAACAATTACAATTTCACACAATATTATACTATATACACTATTTCCCATTAAGATTTTTGAGATAAATGAAAAACATTGCATTTAAAAAAGTAATGAAAAGTACACGGTATATATTAGATAGGAAAAAAATGTGTTTAGCGAATAGGGTTACCCTGCTGTCAAACCAATGAAATTTGGGTTGCATAACTTCATTAGATGAACCCGGCTTGTGGTGCAGTATTGACAAAGTATCTGAAAAATCTAAAACTCGAAATTAAAAACCAACTCGCAATACCTCGTGACTCATCGGTCAACACCGTCCGGTTTCCACTTCCAAGAATATTCAATTCGAATGTTGAATATTTTAGAACGGTTACAACTATTCTCTCTCCTCCGATACCCAATCCACCGCTCTCGTCTCCGTACAAACGTATCGGACTTTAAAGACAACAAAAAAAGCTCTTGCGTAGCGGCTGTATTCCAACAACCAGACACTTGTTGCATGACGGAAGCATGGTTTCGAATAATTAAGCCAACAGGAGAAAGTGAATATGTAAACACGTGAAATAACAAATATGATGGCTTGAAGCAATTTCATGTCTACGCGGGACTTGTTGTTTTCTGTCTGGTTGGTACAATTTAAGAGATGGACAAGTTGGTTCTTCAAGAGCAAAAAAGTTTGACGTCCTGAAACTGTAGGACCAATATTTATAGTTTCAACTGAGGGGTGAAAATACGAATAAGAACGAGTTATTCGGTAAAGGCATGTAATACCCAATTCAGGCGTTTCAAAAAAATCCACAGGTATTTGTGGATAGTCGAATGAATAATAATCTGCTGGCAAATGATTTTTATCGCAATTTTTCTCTAAATGCTGCTTTTATCATTTCCTCGAATTGAAGGTTTAACTGATGACTTTTGAACCTGAAGCCTGTTTTTGTGCCTTTTTTGATTTTTTAAGTTCACTTCTTTTTGAGGATCTTTTTTTAAATTTCTTGATTCTTTATAGTATTTGAAATATTTGCAAAAACCTATATACCCTTTTTATTCATCTTTATTTGTTTATAACTTTTCTAATTTTTTATATGCTAAAAAACGGCCTCTACGACCACGTTTGAAGTCAGCAAACCAACGTTTTATTGTTGTTCCTGATGGAGCGGAGTCCTTATAACACTTTTCAAGCCATTGCTTCGTTTGAACGGTATTTTTCCCATCTAGAAGTAGTGTAAAATTAAAACACGAAATTGCTTTTGATCCATTGTTTTCAAAATAAAAAGTAGTGTCACTCTTAGAAGTTTTAGCAAAATAACTTACAAACTTATAAGTAGAATATCATGAAATTTCAGCAGCTTTCTTTTGGAGGTTAGAACTAACTGAAAAAGCGATGAATGCGCCATCTATGTGTTAAGCCCGAGACTTTTCAGTCCATGTAGTAGATAGCATTAATTTGGTTTAAAGGTAGTCGAACATCATTCAGTTATTGAAAAAACTCAGAATAATTACTGACCCTAGTTTTCGTCCTAAAAAGTTTTTTGATTCTTTCTCTGTCTGATATCTTTGCATGTAGGTACCTACACACAACACTCAGAATAAAAAATAATTTCCTTCTGTACCCACATTTCAATTTCAATTCAGGAAAAATATATTACGAACAGAATTACTAAACCTCTCTATGAGCATAAAAAGTAATACACATTTTATAGCTCATTGCTCGTAATCCGACGCACCATGAGATTGCGTTGTTCGCACCCAGCCATTTTGTGCCAAGAGTAACTCTTGTCAGCAGAGAACGGACCGCGTACTTTCTTAAGTCAGGTTAGCGTCGGATACAGAGGAACGTGGTCGTCATTGGTAACGCTATTGGCGCATAACAAATAAGTTAAGAAAATAATGCGGAAACTTTCCGTGAACCTGGAAAACATTTGCGAATCACTGTTTGTTGAATGAAAAGGTGTTAATGTGACAGTGTTCAGTGCAACATAGATCTTGAAGAAAATTATCTGGACTTTATTCGGCTGTTTTGTACGTGAAACCACGGTGACTGTCGGTGATTGTTTAGTTATGAGTTTTGTTTTTATTTGGTATTTAATACCGACCTTCAGTGACTTGTAGATATGTTCGGATGTTTTAACTGAACCAACCATGGATAATATCACGAACAACATCGGGTTAACTTTACCTGAGGTGAGTGTTGAAGAATTCGAATCTTTTGTATTGGTACGTGAATTTTAGCGAGGCTGATAGGTCATTGCTTTTATCATTCTCAAAGCTGTGAAGCAGGTATATAGAAGTCATGGGCTAGTTTGAATTTGCATTTTTATGTTATTGATTTTCAACAGTTCGAGAAACAAGTGGAGTGAAAGGTCTTACACGCGTATACCTAGAATCGCGTGGTCTTTTAATTTTTCCCCTTCAATGTGACAATCCTAGTAGGTACGCTGAGAAACACTTTCATCAAAGAGAATTGCAGGTTCACATAGAATTAAATACCTGCTACAAATATTGATTTTCTTCACTGATAAAAAACTCGTTTAGAGTTATTTTTTGTTAAAACTGATGACTGACTTGACTTGATTGTTATAAATATCTTATAAGCAGTTTGTGAAATTCAATTTTTGAGCACTTGTTACCAGAACTTATGTACATTATCCAACTGTTCATGTTTTGTTTCACTTAACTCGTCAAACAAAATATTTACCAGCATAGAGAAATATTTACCTTATAGAGACGAAACGAAAGTCCAGACAAGACTAGTCAAAAAACATTCTTGTTGCGTTGTTCGTGACTTCGTGTAAACTTGTTGAAAACAGTTGGCTATATAATTATAAATAACAGGTACACATTTCACATGTTCTCGTGTCAAATTTTGATTTGGAAAAAGATTTCAGGAAAAAATAGTAATTGCAGAGCACAGTATGAGAAGTACGGCAAAGAAATGCAAGATATAGAGTTAAAAGACACTGGGAAATCTAGAGATAAGTGGTCTTGATAGTGTTCGTCAGTCTCAATCTAGATCTATACGAAATCAAGGTAACCAGTTGTCATAACAAGAAGAGTAGCAAGTAGATGTTATTAGATTAGAGGATACAATAACAATAAATATCTCATTGAGGAATGTCGTTTTTTATTTGGCAGATAACAACGATTATTATCATTATTTTTATTCTGTTTGCTCATCTTCAATCTGACAATAATATTTCTCTTTCCTCAGACATTGTTGTATACAGCCTCGAGGCTCGATACAAACTTGTATAACAGCCTCGATACAATCATATTTGTGAAGCTCAAGAATTTTAAAAATTTTAGACTAAAGACAAAATTATCTTTTATTTTATTTACAACCTATGGTTTAATATTTTTAACTTGTGACTAATTCTTTTTCTATACTACAACTGACTTGCAACAAACATTTAACTGTAAAGCTATCAAATAAATCTATCTATCTATCTATTATTGCCTTTCGATGGTCATTTTACTGTACAATTCTGTACAGTTACCTACCTCGACAAATCCATTCTATACTATCTACCTATTTTGAACTTGTTTAATCCTGTTTGTTTTGAGTTGTAGACTTTTCGGAGTTGGCTTCATCAATTTATGCAGGTGTACCTCGATTTGTGCGGAGTACAAAACAAACTAGGTACCTGCAGCCGTTTCTGTGTCTATGACGTCATAGATTTAGTGTCAGTGAAAAGGGGATGTTTAGGAGGTTTGGCATGACAATAGCTTCGTGATGGTTCTGTATTTCTAACTGTTAAGGGCCCATTACACGTTCTGTAATAATGTCATTCCGGCAGATCAATACAGAAACATTATTTCTAAAAATTGTCCCACCATTTCCGGTCATTATTTTCCGCACCTTACGTGTTCATTAATACTGATATTATTTTTGGTAAATTTTCGTTTTGAGGACACCCGGCGATTTTGAAAAAATATTTGCGTGTACTTACGTAGTTTGATACGTAGATTACGAATCCGAAGAGAAAAAGCGGCGCTCTCCCTTATTTACA